CCAAGCTCGAACTATGAATAACGAAGCTTGGTCTAGACCGGGTAACACAAGCCACGGAACAGCAACAAGGAATTGATTGGCCGCTGGTGTTTGGAACATTTGGTTGCAGATGTTTATTCATGCATACCGAAACTGTGATAGATGCATGCAAACATCTGGAAGAAAATTTATTTTCGATCGAAAATAGACGTATAACCATTGGGCATGCCGTTAAAATCAGATTTAGCCTTCATAGGAAACGGAAGGGATTGCCTCGAGCCCTTGTATACTCTCAAAACAAATGGATACAAGCATAACTGGCTGCAAAGCAAACACAAAGCGGCAAGCAGAACCCCAGGCCAAAAAGCACTCTAACATCTGTGCCGAAAGATTCAGCTTTGTATCTAGGCTGGTGTTACATGCTAACCCTATCAACCCACTAGCTTCCTCGAGGTGACATAAAGCCGATGTAAACAATTGTCTGTCCCCAGAAAGCCAATATTTCGTTTTGTTCTAAACCAAAATGAGATTTTTGTATAATCAAATGTGATCACATTTATGCCAGTATTGTGTAGAATGCATTCTTGCACACAGGCAAACGAGCAGTAGTATGGTAGTGTAAACAACCCAATAATTATTTAATGCGGTTAGATACATTTATGTTAATGCAATAGAAAAAGGAAATCAAATTGAAAGCATGGTTAACGAAAATCGGATACAAGTGGATTTCACATGCACTGGCGCCGACAATTTCCCTCCATGAAGGTAAGACTAATTGCAAAATAAACTTTAAAAAACCAAGCCACTATAGAATAACAATGGATCCGTTCCAGTTAAGGAGCAAAACCAAGGACAACAGGGCGAGAATTACAAACAAGTAAGCACTCGTAAAAACACGCAGGTAGAAATAGCACGTGAGACAATTGGTTCAACAAAAGGTGAACGAAAACACCAGGGTCAGCCAACAACATCCGGATGCCTGGCTGGACGGCCTACCTCTACAGATTCCAGCATACTGGAGTGGGCACTATGGTCAGTGCTGTAGTCGCTAGTCGAATTTGCTGCATAGGGTGAACTGTTTTGATGAAAGAACATCACCTCATGCCCCGCGCCCGCTATGGGACTATAAAGATAAGTGGTCGGTCCCAGCGGCGCGGCTGGAGGATTCTGGAGTAGCGGCACAGTTGTAACCAAACAAGCCATAGGCATAACAGGCACACAAGCACAAAAGATAGAAACATGGGAAGAGGTTAGAAGTTGATAGGAAAGAATTCTCAAAAGTCAGAGAATTTATTCATCCAAATAGATACAGTAAAAATAATTCTCGTCCGCAAAAAGGGGGATCATGGTAGGGAGGCACCAGGGTCGTAAGCGTCTGCAAGTCTTTTTACATTGATTCAGCAAAACGTCAGTTTCTGCAACGAACAAAAAATCAACAAATTTCAAGTTTTTTTATGAGGAAAGAGTCTTCAAGTTTCGCTGGTATTTGATGGCTCAAAATCGTCCGTTCGCGCTTTTTTGGCAGGCTGACTGTGCTCATTATTCTCCAATTTGAGGCTTGTTGGATTAGGTTGCTTCCTTAGATTCAAAGAAAGAGCGCCAAGTAATAAGTCCCTATTGGGGATGGGAAGGGGAATGGTTACAGTAGGGGCGACAGCAGACATGGCGGAGAAAGGTTCCAGCTTCAGGTGATTGGTAGCCAGGAAGTCAAATGCAGAAGAGAACCCAGCGTTCGATCCCAGTGTTACTGCAGGCAGGAGGGCCGCAGCTTGATGAGCAGCAGTCGTCAGGGTAGGCAATGCTGACGAATGAAGAAACTGGAGGGCTTGCAGGGGAAAGGGGAGCTGCCAACTACTCACCTGTTGGGAACCGTTACCGGGACCCATAGTGGTCAGCCCAGCCTGGGCACCAGTTACAGTCACCGAGGCTGGACCACCTGAAACAACGTTGGCGCAACTTGGCGGCAGCAGAGAGGGTGCATGGGTCTGTGCCGACGGGCTGGTAACCGCTGACGCCTGTGTCGGGATTGGTTGGTTTTGCTGCTGTTGTTGGCTCGCCTGGGCCTGTGGACAAGGTGACCACCTCCAGGCCGCCTGCTGCTGTGCCAACATGGTAGCGGCAATAGCCTGTTGTTGCTGCTGATGTTGCGTCTGCTGCTGTTGCTGCTGCGGTGCTGAGAGCGCAGCTAGAGCAGATTGATGCTGCAGAACTTGTTGAGCTACTGCCGCAGTTGGTATAAGGCCGCTTGAGAGACCAGCCGCGAGTTGCTGCTGTTGGGCGGTGGCTGTGGCCAGGCCATTGTTTGGTGGCCAGTGTGCACAGGCCGCCATCGCAGCGGCAGCGGCAGCCATCACGGCCGCGGCACTTGTTGAAGCGTTGGGCCCAGCAAGTGGGTTGTTGGCCCCGCCAGGTCCTGCTACAGCATTAACAGCGTTCGATAGCTGTGCATGAGCCTGTTGATGGGTTTGCTGCTGCTGCTGCTGCTGCAATGCAGAGGCTAGGCTGGGCACGGCGGCGTTCTGAGTAGAAGCTGCAGCAGTTGGCAAGTAGAGG